TAGCCGCCTAGACACAGTCGGGTGAACATGTATTTATTTCTAAGTGATCGGGATAGTAAACAGTTTTTCGCGACAACAAACACATCCTCTAAATTTACGATAAGGCTACCTAGTAGTCTCGAGTTGTCGCGTGGGTATTACGAGGTCGGTTTGTGCGAGGTGGACTTGGACTCTACACTTGATGCTAGTAAGGGTCTCGATGTGTTTTGTGACATTATCGACAGCTCGATCTACAACGCGTATAAGGGACCCATATTAAGAAGATTACAACCAATGGTGCACAAGTCTACTTTTAACGACGTGTTCTACATGACTGCCTTACCAAGGGATGTGGAGTCTATTAGTATATACATAAAGGATAGCGCCGGGGGCGACTTGTCATTAGGCAGTGGAAGCTCGAGTTGTACACTACATTTGAGAAGGAGACTGTAGCGGAGTGAAATAACATAAAATGAATTTAGTGCCCCTAGTTGATGAACACGATAAATGGGTTTCATTTTTTAAGACGGCTCAACCCTACCAAATTGGTAAGGGGCGTCATAGGGTGAAGTATGTCACCAGAAAGGATGTTATACCAACAGCTACACCTATCACAATAAGTTCACCCGTCCAGTCCACGGTAGACCGGGCACGCTCCGATTTAAAAAATCAAAGCAATAGTGGCGAGATACTTAATAAAACGGGTACTGGCGCCACTGTCGAGGTCGGTAATAAAAAGCGAAAGAGCAACAAAGCACCGACACTCGTTCAAAAGGCAACGAAGAGAACAGTCGTCAACGCCTCTAGTGCAAATAGCATACCCGTATTCAGTGGTATATCAGTGGATAAGACATCGACCAAACGGAAGAATAAGAAGCAGAAGACAGGTCGATGATGTCTTCTTTTAAAGTGACTGATAGTAGGGACTTAGTTAACACAAACCTTTTACTTTTCGAGCCCCCCGGTACAAATACAAGCGTTTTGGGGGTGAACTACGTCAATTTCAGGCCGCTCAATCCTATAGTGCAGAACCAGCCTGTCGACTTTCATATCGTCAACAACTCGGCCAAGTATATCGATTTACAGAAATGTAAATTACACTGTAAGGTGAAAATTGTGAAAAATGACGGTAGCGATCTACAACTGGATGGCGACGGAGAGTCATTGGATAGTGTCGGGGTCATCAATCTCATTCTTCACACACAGTTTGCCAACTGCGACGTCGAGATACAGCAGAAGTCATTGACAAATAATTCCAATTACACATACCCGTACAAAAGTATTTTAAAGACACTTTTGCGGTACAACTCAGAGGTGAAGAAGACTCGGTTACAGGGTTCTCTGTATTATAAGGACACGGGCATGAACGAAACGACAGACGACGCCGCGCTACTCCCCAAAATATCAAATTACGGTCTCTACCAAAGAGCCGAACTTTTAAAAGGGTCTAAGATTGTTGATTTGGAAGCCCCTTTGTTAGAGGACGTATTCGAGACTAGTCGCTATTTATTACCCAATTTGGAGATTAAAATACGACTGACACCATCCAGCGACGCCTTCAGGCTGATGACAAACTCGTCTGAAAAATACAAGCTCGTAATACAGGACGTGTACATGCGAATGGCTATGGTCACGGTTAGCCCAGGGGTACTGATGGCGCACGATAACATGTTGAAAACCAAGAATGCCTTATATTTCTACGATAGTTACGAACTGCGCACTTTCAATATCAACACAGGCCTGAGCAATACGGTTCTGGACAACGTGTTCAACTCCTACATACCCCAGACGTTGACTGTATGTTTCGTGAAGGCAGACGGGTTTGTAGGTCGTTACAATCTGAATCCATTCCGGTTCGAGGATTTCAAAGTCAAGTGAGTATTTTTGAAATTGTCGCTGTTTCAGCATTATTAACATATTACTATCGTTAACAGAGACATCGGACCCCTATGTCCATCAATTGTATAGAACATTAACGAATGTTGTTTGGCTTATTTAGGCTTTAAAACAAACAGAAAACATAGTTTGATAACTTGCTTCGATATTTTCAGCTATATCAACTGTTTGACGGATGGTGTTGCGCAGACAGAAGTGGCTTATAGACCCGTGTTCGATCGAAGCAAAGGTCAACAATATGTCAGGGAGCACATGAACCTATTTTCAACCCTCGACCCCCACGAGGGCAACGATATCTCGAGGCTAGATTTCGGTTCGGGCTACAGTATTTTTCAGTATAACTTGACGTACCAGAACGATCCAGGCTCCGAGGACACACTCCCTGTCCAGAGAACTGGTAATCTACGCTTGGAATTGGGTTTTGAAAACCCCTTGACACTTCCCGTATCTGTCATTGTTATGGGGACATTTTTGAAAAGCTTTCAAATAGACTACGCCCGCAACTGTTTAGCCTAGTCAGTTTACTATACATAATCGAGAACAGCTGACTCTGGCATGGATTCTGATACAGTTCGAGCACTACTTTATTCGCAAAGACCTACGAAAACGAGAGTGGGGTGTGTGTGCGCCAGTGATTTACTGCCCCACTCGCGGTCGGCAAATCAAGACATTTTCATAACTAATACGGTGGACAGTACACGCGTTGTTGGTCATTGGACACTTATGTTTTTTGAGCATAAAACGAAAACTTTGGAATTCTTTTGCTCCCTCGGGCGCCATCCGTACGAGTATGGGCGGTTTTTTAAAGACTTTATCAGGCGGAATAAAAAGTACACACTCGTTGTCTACAGTAAAAATATACAAGCAGCGACTTCAGACACCTGCGGGGATTACACGGTTTACATAAGTTTACAGAGATGCTCAGGGCTGTCAATGACTGAAATCCTAGCCGGATTTAACACTGAGCGACGATTAGAGAATGACATTTTGATAAGACAATTTACGAGGATGTTAAAACAATAATAATAATAAAATGCGGACACTTGTCTCGTCTTATGTTAATCACATGTAAATAGCTGGGGGTTGTTTGTGTATATGTACCACTCATCACTGTGTGTGTGTGTGTGTGTGTGTGTGTGTGTGTGTGTGTGTGGCTGGGTATGTGCATGTATGTATTTATGTATATGTGTATTTATATATGTAAGCACCTGATTAATAAAATGTAAATAGAAATAAAGACAAAATTGTTTGCTGATTACATTATATTTATTTTTATCCATTTATTTAGTAGCTACACTACAATGTACATTTTTACATTTTTAGTGAAACAAAACACAATTGTCACAATGATAGCCATTTAGATTTATCAAATCTAGTCACTTTTCTCTTTTTGGCTACTCCTTTCCCCACAGATTTAACGTCTTTATCAAGTATGCCGGGGGGTACAGTTTTTGGGGAACGACCCATTTTACTTTTAACAGCATAATGTCGGGACTTGAAACCATTGTCCAGATTGACAGATCTATTATTTTTTGTATTATCATTAATGTGCCCCAGGGTTCTAATCTTTTGAACACGTTTATTGTCCATTGAGTCCTTAGCGGGTCGTTTTGTCGGTGCTTTATCTACCTCCGTCCCCTCCATACTTCTGACATCGCCTCTGGCACCCCCTGGTTCGACGCGCGTTGTAGTAGCCTGATCAGTAGAAGTAGTGGCCATCTCAGGTGTGGCCAAGTCAAGGTCACTATCGCTTTTCAATGCACCGACCTCGTTGGCACCAACGACACTTTGTTTATTGTCTTTTATTCCCGACACAACTGCTAAAGAGCCCAACTTGGCCTTCATTTGCTCGTATTTGGCGATAGGTAACATCGCATATTTAAAGTTGTTGCTCATATCGCATCCAGATGGGGTAGGGCAATCCTCAGCGCGTGTATTAAGGCTTTTTGTTTACTCAATAGTAAACGTTTCTTGGTATTTTGCGGCACACGTTTGTCAACTAGTCTTTCGTAAAACAAACGATTCTTTAATAACGATTGGCGTTCAGCCGGCGAGGTAGGAATGACAGTTTGCAGTAGATTATGTACTATTTCGAGTATAGCCTTTAGCTGGTCTCGACCCAATGAGCGCAGGACTCGACGTGTCACCTTCTCCTGTTTTAAATCAGCCAAATAACGCACAAAGCTTATATGTCGCTTAAGTAGCGAGCTCATCTCTTCACGCCACGGCTTTATTCGCGATAATGAAAAAAACCAGCGTGTCAGACTTCATATACCACCGTCGGATATTCATCTTTAAATATCTTGCTGAGTAGACGCAGCTTGGGGTTACCGAGTGGATGTAAGTCTATAATAAGATACGGCCATTTTGATGACTCCATCGCATCGCTATATGCCCTAGTCAACTTATCCCCCAAGCCCAATTGAGAAGCCAAAATTCTGACACTTGTCATGGCTCGTGGCGAACGAAACAGACACATGTATTGGGCATTGTTTGCGATGACTCGACTCTTCGGACCGTCGTAGAATATCTGCTGTAGGACGTACATGACAGACAGGCCTGCAAGTATATGTTTCAGCATGATTTGACGCTTTGGTACACTCGCTATAAATAAAGACCGTAATAACACAGGTAGTGATTTAATAATGCTATATTCCAACCCTTGGCAACTCACCAGCGTGGTGTACACCATATGTGAACAGGCCTTCGACGTATGAGTCTTTACTTGCATTGTTTGCCAAATCGTCGATTACCACCATTAGGTGTCCATCCTCCTGCCCCTGCGAGTGTTGACTTACAACTTGTTCGGTGGGGAGACCGTGGTGTAGGCTAAAATTTGGTATCTCTGATTCCATTTTTGCGTAGAAGTCATCGTATATACCATAGCAGTACAGCACTGCCGTGGGGGGTTTTTCTATATATAAGTTTGGGGCTTCCTTCAAAAATTTGTACAGCCAATACGACTTTCCTGAATAACTCGACCCGGCTAATATGAATGAACTAAAAGGTCTAAAACCAGTTTCGGATAAAAACGTTGTGCCACCTCTCGTCTCCATCGTGTCAAGTGCAATGATTAAAATGACTGATTATTAAAATGGCTCAGCTACTTATAGAAACCAACACGAGGCGATGTTTCGCTATATGGTTTTATTTATTTATTTATAAATCAACTTATTATATTTAGGTACAACAACGACACGTAACAATCACAACAGTGCACAATCCTGCCTACTACTTTTAAATTAAATTAAATAATCACAACTATCCATTTTACACAGATATACTGAAACCCCTCCCCCCCGACTACTTTACAGAGTAGGTGAGATTGGACTGTAGTAGCCAAATGAGTTACTATTGTCAGAAGCACTATTAGCACCAAAAGTAAAGTCCTCGGGTTTTGCTAGCGGTGTATATTGATGAATGTCCATGGGTATAGGGCTGATATTGCCGAACCCTTGTGTACTGCTACAAACACTGGCTGCCTCGTCGAACATGTAGTCGGGGTTCAACATTTTGAACGGGTTGTCTAGTTGAGTGACAGGTGTCTGCGGCACAGTTTGATGGAACCCATCCACGAAGTCTGTCTGCGTCCCCACACTTGCGACTGTTTTAGCCAAATTCAGTTTAATTGGGCGTAGTTTGGGGGGTAGACCGCTACGATCAGTAACCCCGGGTGATCTATACTGACTCGGGTCTGTTATAGCTGCAAGCATAAACAAAAAAATGTTTTTTAAGATCAACCCTTTGCAAATACAGTGGTAACTTAAAAAGAAGTTTCATGTTTTACGTAGCTCTATACAATTATAGTTTAACTGAAAATTTAACTTACCATCTACTATAGGTACATCGGAATTGTCCCTGATGCAGCTGGTCACGACACAGAACCAATTTTCCAGTTTATCCATGTCACTCAATGTCAGAGTAATACTCGATCGCATAGACCCACTCGCATCTGGCTTGCTTCTAACTCGTTGGAAGGTGACAACAACACCATCGGCGCTTAGTTTGACGACTACCCTCAGTAACCTCCTCTCCCCCAAGTCCATCGACATTTCAAGTTTACCACTTTTCACACGTTCAACCAAATCCTTGATATTACGGAAGTTAGTCTTGAGTGAACTCCACTGACACACCGTGACTAGTATGCTTTTACAAGCGTAGGAGTCCGTGTCATTGCTCCAATTTTTTTCCTGTAACAAAAGGTATGGCTTGGCGTAGTCCCCTTTCCTTACATCGATCGAAATGGTTTCGCTTATCTGGAAAATGGCAACACTGCCACCAGCCCTCGACTTGTTGACCTGTTGAGACTGCATTTTAGTGAATTGTGTCGCTAGTCCTATTCAAAGTTTGCCTTCCCGTATAGAAGTGAATTCACGATGTCGCTGTTGTTACTGATACTGTTCCGATCGAGATGTGACTATTTTCACCAACTAATGTCGACTGGCTTATATCAAGAGCTTATATAGTGTTGCAACTTATTTACAGACGTGTATGGGCCCGTTCACCTAGCGAAACCAATCGCGGTATGATGTGTAGTAACCGTGGAGCATTAGTCATTAGACGGGATGAGTCGAAGTAAGCCATGCGGCACACCTGCTGGTATCACTTATTTATTTGGAGTCCTACCAAATACTTAGTATAGACAATTGTACATTTTAAAGTAAAATTGCAATGGTGAAAATAAATATACAAGTTTATTACCAGTCATACGCATCGTCGTTAAAGTATTGACATACAATACAGGATAACAGCCCTTGTTGAGTCGCGTGATCAAGCGGTAAATAGGCTAGGCAGTTACGGTCCTCTATGGGCAGCTGAGGGAAAAGTGATCGGATATCTTTAAACATCTCGAAAACCTCTTTGAAAGAAAAGTCCATATGCCAGGTTAAAATTCTGGTACTCTTGCTCCGGTCGTTTTTGGTCGAGGTAAGCATCACGCCTTTGTCATTTTCCCCGAACACTCGAAACTCATACCCCAATCCTAAATGATAAAACCTGTCCGGGCGAAACTCGAACGAGGCCAACACATCCGACACGTGCACTCCATCATAGTCAGTAGCATCCAAGTATAGAAGCAACGAGCGAAGACCCTTCGGCTCGAAATAGCACTGCACTAGGTAGTCAAACTCTCTGTAAGTCATGATCGCGAATTTACCAGGTTGAAACTCTGGTAGCATAACCATTCTGGCCCCATGTTGAGCCCACGAATACTCTCTGATAACTACTTTATCCTTTACGCGATAGACGTATCTATTCCCTACTTTCAGCATCCAAGGCAAATCTTCCTCAAGTGGTTTCACGATAGAACCAGTCGGTTTATTGAAATCCACCATTGACAAGTGAAATGTAACACACGTGCCATTCTCGTCTGCATTTAAGCAGATTCGTTTACAATGCATGTTGATAGCCCTCCTAACACCGTATAACGCCTTCTCTCTTAATAACCCCGATACATTTATAAATATCGTTTCACACACCACCCGCCGATCAGCCGACACGAACCACCGACCACGTAGCCATTTAAAACACTCTCCCTTCTTAGCGGAACAATTTTTAAAATAAACCCAAGACCCGCCTAGAGTACATCCCCCATCGCGACCACTCAGCCTGAACTACCTCTTAACCCTATCGCCTATCGGGCGACAAGCTGATTACACACTAGGTCCCCCTACGGGGACCTACTGTGTACTACCCGAGGGCCTACCGTGGACAGGCGTGATAACACAGCAGACCCCCTACGGGGGCCTACTGTGTACTACACGGGACCTACTTTAGGCAGTCAGCCTGATCACACGATAAACCTGTTGCCTACGTAGGGGCCACATCCACAAAGTAGGCCCCCTGCGGGGGCCTACTGTGTGCACTCAGGCGGCACTAAGGCGCCCATACGTGTACCCTGACTACTAATTCATCAGAATTGCATGAAAAATATCAAGGAGGGTATTGTACACCTGAACATTGTCTTTGATAAGTATCAGGGTCATTGAGTGAATATTGAGCGTGAAAATAATATTTGAAATTTCAATATTTTACCACACCCACTTTTGGGGTGACCTTACTTTTGTTTAATTACTTCCAAGATATGTCATATTTGAACTCAAAAGCACAACTAAATTATTTGTAAAGGCTTATTTTGTCCTGAAAACAGTTTTTTGAGGTTTTCAGGAAAGGATTATGTAAAAAAAAGTAGAAAAACAGCAAATGCCAGGTGAAATATAGGGGAAGCCCTACTTTTTGTTGATAACTGTGAAATTATCAAATGTTTTTTCCTTTTAAATTCAATTTGATATATAATATACCTTTTCAGGTAAAACAGAGAACGATTTGTTACAATCAGTGGTCAAAAAATGTCCTTGAAAAGGCAACAAAATGTTAAATATCCCTGTCCCTGACATCAGTTTATTAATATGAGCCAAAAAAGGTAACCCAGCCAAATGTTTGTTAATAACCCAGTCATTCAGCATGGGTTTGACATCATATTTGGCACAATTACCTTGTTCAATATTCTTTCATTCTACTAAGTGTCATTGATCTATCCTTAATAGTCACGATTTTATGGTCATTTACAAAATGTGCTCAAAATATCGAAATGTCCCTAACTGACTTGACATCAATACCACCAGTTTTTTATCTGTGGACCTTTTTTTTGATACTAACAACACTTGAAACATTAAAACAAGAGATAAGAATGAAGATGAGAGTCATAACACATGATTTTTATGCTCCTGATTTGAACAGCAACGCACGATACGTTCAAGTTGGCCTCCAGGCATGACACCCATATTTCATGGCATGGTATAAAATGGCCATTAAATCGTGACCACTAGAGACCACTGAGACTGGGTAGATTGATAATACATTGACCAAGACTCAATTCTGCAAAATATGACACTAAATCCATGCAGGATGATTGGGCTGGATTATTAAGATTTGTTTGGGTTACCTTTTTGGCTTGCCCTGTATTAAGGAAAAATTGATACTTTTGACTAAGGTGTTCTTAACCACACAGTGATATTGAGAAATGAAATGAAGAAGTTCAACTGAAGAATGTTCGATTTCAAGATGAAATTCAATAAAATTGAGGAAAAGGTTTCTACATTAATAAATCCTACTGAGTTAACTAGTGTAACGCAAAGTAAATCCCTGGTCTTTATACAGGGCCTGGTTCGATTATGTTATGTTCATTATCAAAAATGCTGCCTTAATTTTGTAATCTTAACCTTCATATATGTGTCTTACTTTTAGAGAGCAAAAAAGAATGCTGATTAAATAAGCTTAATATAATTATGTTGTAACAACAATCAGTTACAACCTTGTCTATCACCAGCCTTCATCAGGGGCGGATATGGGACCAGCAAGGGGGGGGGGAATGTCAGGTCTGAGAAAAAACTTCCGTGGAAAAAATTTTGGGCCCCTAAAACCCTGAAGTGGGCCCAAATTTTGAAATATTGAGACCCATTTTCTTCAATTAAAAAATAAGGCTTTAAAAGGCCCATTTATGACCAAAAAGGCCCACTTTTCAGGGCCTTAAGGCCTTTTTTGGGCCCAATTTTTTTTCTGGGCCCGCCCAAGGGGGTGGGAGGGGCCCAGATCTGCCAGTGTTCATTATTTAGTCATCATTATTCTCATGATCAGTAATGGAGGTATTTGCACAAATGCCTTTGCATACCTTACATGTCAAAGAACAGTTATTTCATTTTTCTACAAGAACATCTTATAGAAATACAATCTGCCTTACACACACAATGGATGATCTCTGAGAAAGGGGAGCTGCATTGGCAATTGGTACATAGTTTCGTTGCTTATTTCCCAGCCCAATTATAATGGAGGCAGTTTATTTCCCTCCCACTCCTGGATCTGATGGTACACTCTGTAACTGTGGTATTCCGCAGCATCAGAAAATGGAGGAAGAACAAGGGGCTGCAATAATTCAGATCTTGCTGCTCTCTTTAAATAGAATTTTAGAAGCCTAAGATAATTTAGGGTTTCACCATTTTTCCACCATAAATTGACAAAAGAGCATGTCCCTCTGCAATGACAGAGTTGCTTGCATTTCACTGGTTTTCTACTTGTTTACGTTGTAACAAAATGTCGGAACATCGAAGGTTTGATTTTTCTTTTTTCTTTATTTCACACACTAGGCAGAATTCCCACTGCATTGTTATCACAAACATGTATCAGTTTTATATGTTTCAAAAATGTACATATTTGCGAACAAATAGTTCAGAAGACAACAGAATCTTCGATTTAATTCCTCACTTAAGTTACATAAACGGTATTTCGATAAACAATTAAGATCTGCACTTTTAACCCAAACCGTTTATTTAACTTAAGTAAGGAATTAAATCAACAATTCTGTGAGAAAAAAACATCGTGGGGATTCAACCTACAACGCGTGAAAAAAAAGGAAAAAAGAAATATCGTACTTTCGACGTTTAGACATTTTGTTACCGAAACGACAAGCGTAATCGAGCGGATCACCAGTGCTTTTGGTAATTTAAAAACAACCGCTTGTTTTCTCAGGAACTCACTCTTTTTTATCTGCCTCAATGATAGCCTCTTGTCTATGCCATATAACCTGAATGCGATGTCACACCCCAGAAAAGAAACAAAATATTGTCACAGACCACTTTTCCCAAAGACAATCTTATTTCATTTACTTTTTGTATATTCCAACATTTTGTTTCTTGGGTTGCTGCTTTTGGTTCAGGTTTGAAGAAAATGTTGAAGTTTGTGTTTTATGCATGATAAATGAGAAGCACAAGGAGATCTGTATGAGTACTGTATTTGAGGTTTCAATGTTTTCCAACCTGACAGACAGAATTACCATCATTCCTATGCACTGAAATTATATTAATGAAAGACTCCCCAGATATCCGAGATTTTAATGTTCTCTGTCAGTTTAAATTCCGTTTAATAACCATAAATTCGTTTCTACAGCATTATACATCCAATTGATAGTTCCATAGTAATGTACTCTTATGTAATGATTTATTTATCTGATGAATTTAAATATATGCAAATTTTGTAATTGCGGATTGTAATCAATAATTTAAATAATATTAAATTCCACAAAAACTACAACTTACATTATTTAGATGAGCCTAGTATAGAGTAGTTATCATATACCCTAATATCAGAGTGGTGATATGTAATTATTCATCAAATAAAAGTGAGGTCACCTTAACATTTCACCTGGTGCAACTAATAATTCCTATTTTTCATACTAAAAAGGTATAAACCTTCACAAAACTTGTATTTTAGATGATGACAAGCCTATATAAATGATTTAGATATCAACTCTAATACAAATGTGATGCATTGTGCGAGTTAATCATCAAAACTATAGTCTCCCCTATAGTGGGCGGGGCAAAACTATGAAAATGAAATAATTTTTTTCTTCCTAAGTATACACCTTAGAATTCTGATACTCACCAAATATGAAGTTCATATGAATATGTAACACCATGATTTTTTTCATGCTTTTCTTACAAACTGTTCCTAAAATATCTAAATAGATATGTGATAACATGCCTGTTTTGTGGCCTATTTTGTTATACTTTGGGGTCAAATGACCAATTACTGGTCTCAAAATTGATTAATTATTATTTTAATTATTTTTGAATATGTGATCTATCATAATAAAGCTTGAATACTTGACTAAAGTATTCTATTTGGGAAGAAAAAATTGTTTCCTACCAATACTCAATTTTGGGGTAGGGTTGTAGGGGGTACCTAGGAAGTGAAATTTCATATTTGTCCACTGCATACATTTTTCTATATTTTTGATATGTTTTTCAACTGATATTTATACATAATATAAGACTAATTTAAAAACTGTTGCAATTTTTGGGATGTTTGGGCCTTTTATGAGCCCATTTGCTTGGCCTATAACCTTCACTTCTGTTTGAAGTCCAATAACGCTTGGAGTAAAATCTATTGAAAACGGCGCCAGAGTATCAAACTCTAAAATGTACCATTTCTTTTTTAACTTTTTAATGGCATGATATAGTGACACGATAATATTAACATATGTTTTCAGCATAACTCTGAATGTATTAATGAGATATTAATGCATTGGATCTTTTTAATTTTTTTTATAAAAAATAATATTAATATTTTTTGTCCGCTGTGACGGAGCATTTTCACAGTTCACATTTGCAACTGCTCCGTCACAGCGGACAAAAAATTGAAACATTATTTTTTATAAAAGAATTAAAAAGACCAAATACATCAACATCTCATTTATACCTTCATAATTATGCTGAAACCATGTGTAAATATTATCGTGTCACTATATCGTGCCATTAGAAAGTTAAACAAGAAATGGTACATTTTGAAGTATGATACTCCGGCGCCATTTTCAATAGCTTTTCTTCCCAGCGTAATTGGATTTCAAACAGAAGTGAAAGTTACCCGCAAATGATATATCCATTGCATGGAGTAAGTAATTTTGTATGGTATAACGAAACATATGAGTTAAAAAATAAATCGTGAAGTATTCTTAGTGTTTTAATGAAAAATAGCATGCTCCGTCACAGCGGACAAATGTTTCGATACCAGCCTGTGAACATGTTTTGTTGGAAATTTCATCTTCATTGAATAAAACTCATACTGCTGTACTGAACCTTGTCAAAGAGTCTTTAAAGCACTTTAGCTTACATGTATATTAATAGCCGTACCCAATTTTTATAAATATGTGGTATGTAAAACTTTCTCTATTTTCTCAATTGAAACACATTTCTTGGAGGATTTTCTCCTTAATCCTATATATGCAATTAGTGCATAATCTTTTAATAGTTCATAATCTCTTAATTTTTTTTATTAGTATTCATCTTGCATCATCACAGTTAAATAAAGAGATAAATTCACAGTTACCTAAAATTATATTTGGTGGAATACAATTCCCTTAAACAAGGCATAATCATGCAAAATGTCACCACCTGCCATTTTTTACAGATGCCAAATGCTGAATGACAACCACTTCTGGTGTTGACATAAAAAATGATTAACATGTCTCAAAAGTCAAGTAAAACTCTGTATTTATAGAGAATGGCAATCAACTACTATTATGAGGGCGACACCCACTTTTGACCACTTATGTAATTGTATGGTCTTTGACACTTACCAGTCATATAAATTGCAATATTCTTTCTCTTTAAACAAATGTTTGGACAGCCCTGGTGATTCTTAGAGTGCTAAAATGTTCTGATATCTGTTGATTTGAAAAATAATCCACATTCTATATTATGTACAGGTACAGGTTTTACCAAAATTAAGGATTTTCTCAGCAAAAATTGTGGTTTCCATGGCAAACATGAGTGACAGACCATTGAAAGTCTGCATACTACCTTAAAATGATCTCATCAACTCTCGATAAAATTATTATGATGATTGAAGACCAACTGAATGAATTATTCAATGATGATAATGTAACCCCTGTAATTTTCCTTTTTAGGGTCAAAAACCAAATTTTGACAACTTTCGCCCCGGATACGGCGCATCAGACAAAAAATTTCTGAAGTATCACATAAAAATACATAAGAAACAAGTAATTTCAATTTGTTCAGAAGCGGGTACATTTTTCGGTGCTACCTCACTAACTACTAGACGTGGCATGATCACGAATGAAAGAGGAACTGAAAACTAAACATTAATTATGAGGTGAATCTGTTCTTTTTAAAAAATAAAATAAAAAAAATAAGGTGAATCTGTTCATCAGAGTTGTTAGCCTATAAAGATGTATCATTAAAAGTTATGACAACACTTCTTTCAAAATACATAATAATATCTGACTTTAAATTAAGTTAAAACCACCTCAAACAAAATGGAAACTCCATCACTCACTAAAGAAGAAGCGGTAACCTTTCTCTCAGACGTTTTACAGTTTGAAAACTGGAATGAAGAGCTACAAAATGACAAGGTTGAGTTCGTCAATCATTTAATGATCAAATACCAGCAGAAACAACCATTTCAGACACTATCATTATTAAGTGAAGATCTAAACGCTCGGAAAATCCCAACATGGGAAGAAATTAAAACTGCAATTTTTACAAAGGAAGGAGGTCTGTGTCACACGCTGAATACATTTATTTGGATGTTGCTTAAGGCACTAGGGTATGATGTGTATCTGGTTATGTCGAATGTTGTCATAAATGAACAGTGCTTTAAAGAAACATTCAACCATACATTGGTGATAGTGCGAGATCTTACAGTCAAAGGAAGCCTGCATGTTATTGACTGTGGTTTTGTGACGCCAATATTAAATGCTATCATTATTGAAGACCCTGCCCAAGATGAAGACAGCCTGAATGAAATGATGTATCACAATGGCGGTAAAATTTTCAAATATGTCAAAAGAGGTTCAAACACATACGTGCGATATGATTTGTCTATCAATAACAAAAAGGAACGAAGAGAAACAATTAATGATTGTCTTACTGGTTCAACATCCAGCCGAATGATTTTGCAGATTTTTACGAACATTCAGCAATGAGAGTTTACCTTGGTGTTCGTACCACCCTGGAGGCAGACTCGGGGGACCTCTTACATTACACCATAATCTTAACAGGGTTAGAAGGAGAAAGAAGAATCACAATAATAAACCATGAACTCATGGTTGAGAATGAAGAACACATCATGGAGGCTAGTGACATACCCCAAGATGAACTAAGTGATTACATCATCAGATATTTCCCAGGTTTCAAAGGTAGAGAAGATGTTATAAAGAAGGCACTTGAAAATATGGAGAAAACTAAAGAAAGACTATCAATTAAAATCTAAGGTCATAACACGTCATGGAGGATAGTGACAAACCCCAACATGAACTGAGTGATTTCATCATAATGTATTTCCCAAGTTTCAAAGGCAAGGAAGACATTATAAAAAATGCACTTGAAAATATGGAGAAAACTAAGGAAAGACTATCAATTAAAATCTAAGGTCATAACACGTCATGGAGGATAGTGACAAACCCCAACATTAACTGTGTTATTTCATCATAATGTATTTCCCAAGTTTTAAAGGAAAGGAAGACATTATAAAAAATGCACTTGAAAATATGGAGAAAACTAAGGAAAGACTATCAATGAAAATCTAAGGTCATAACACGTTATTGAGAATAGTGACAAACCCCAACATGAACTGAGTGATTTCATCATAATGTATTTCCCAAGTTTCAAAGGCAAGGAAGACATTATAAAGAAGGCATTTGAAAATATGGAGAAAACTAAGAAAAGACTATCAATTAAAATCTAAGGTCATAACACGTCATGGAGGATAGTGACATACCCCCAAATGAAGTGCGTAGCGTAGCGAGGGTGTGATTTTTGCAAAAGTAAGTTTGGTGAATATCAATATTTGATTTTGAAACTTAGAGTGAAATATAATTGCGCGTGAAAATAACCAAGCTTACTAATACTGTACTGTATATACAAAATAAAAAAACACAACACTGTACATTAATGTAAATCCATTGATCAGAGTTGTTGGCCTGCAACCAAATTACCTTAAATTACTTTGTTCATAGAAGACATATATTGTATAAACAACCTTGCTATCAAGAAACTTATCTGGCATGCAGTTCTAAGTTTTAAAAGCACCTCAAGCAAAATGGAAACTCCGACACTCACAAAAGAAGAAGCAGCAACCTTTCTCTCAGACATTTTACAGTTTGAAAACTGGAATGAAGAGCTACAAAATGACAAGGTTGAGTTTGTCAATCATTTAATAATCAAATACCAGCAGAAACAACCATTTCAGACACTATCATTATTAAGTGAAGATCTAAACGCTCGGAAAATACCAACCTGGGAAGAAATTAAAACTGCAATTTTTACAAAGGAAGGAGGTCTGTGTCACACATTGAATACATTTATTTGGATGTTGCTTAAGGCACTAGGGTATGATGTGTATCTGGTTATGTCGAATGTTGTCATAAATGAACAGTGCTTTAAAGAAACATTCAACCATACATTGGTGATAGTGCGAGATCTTACACTCAAAGGAAGCCTGCATGTTATTGACTGTGGTTTTGTGACGCCAATATTAAATGCGATCATTATTGAAGACCCTGCCCAAGACGAAGACAGCCTTAATGAAATGATGTATCACAATGGCGGTAAAATTTTCAAATATGTCAAAAGAGGTTCAAACACATACGTGCGATATGATATGTCTATCAATAACAAAAAGGAACGAAGAGAAACAATCAATGATTGGCAAATGTCTTATTGGTTCAACATCCAGCCGAATAATTTTGCAGATTTTTACGAACATTCAGCAATGAGAGTTTACCTTGGTGTTCGTACCACCCTGGAGGCAGACTCTGGGGACCTCTTACATTACACCATAATCTTAACAGGGTTAGAAGGAGAAAGAAGAATCACAATAATAAACCATGAACTCATGGTTGAGAATGAAGAACACGTCATGGAGGCAAGTGACATACCCCAAGATGAACTGAGTGATTACATCATTAGATATTTCCCAAGTTTCAAAGGTAGAGAAGATGTTATACAGAAGGCACTTGAAAATATGGAGAAAACTAAAGAAAGACTATCAATTAAAATCTAAGGTCATAACACGTCATGGAGGATAGTGACAAACCCCAACATGAACTGAGTGATTTCATCATAATGTATTTCCCAAGTTTCAAAGGCAAGGAAGACATTATAAAGAAGGCATTTGAAAATATGGAGAAAACTAAGGAAAGACTATCAATTAAAATCTAAGGTCATAACACGTCATGGAGGATAGTGACATACCCCCAAATGAAGTGCGTAGCGTAGCGAGGGTGTGATTTTCGCACAAGTAACCCTACTATCACACCAAACTAGTTCTCATTACGTTCTCGTAAACGGGCTTCAACTGTGTACGCACGGACTGGACCTACTAAGAACCGTTTGGGATCTATTTACAAACTTGATCGAACGTACTCGAACGGGTAGGTCCTCTAGAACTTAGACAATGCTCAAAATGTTCTCGTGGTCGTCACGTTCTACAATTAGAACGAGTGACAACGTACTAATGACGAGCTGGACGTACTACGAATGGAACCGTCGTACTTCAATCCTACTAGGGACGTTTTAACAACGAGTTGAACTGTCTGAGGACGTGTTGAGAACGAGGTAGAACTAATTGCAAACGGGTTTAAACTGATTAAGAACGTATTTAACACTGCTTATGAACGAGTTAGCAAATATATAGCCATCACACCAAACAAGTTGCCACTGCGTTCTTCAAAACTGGTTTGAAACTATGTGCGAACGGAATGAACGTAGCTGCAACTTTCTAATGTCTATTTACGAACTTTATGAACGTTCTCAGACGGGAATGTGATTTTAGAATTTTGAATCGATCAAAAATTCGATGGCGACCATACCGTTCTGTAATCAGGTCATGTTGACCTTCTAGACTAAGGGACGCGTTCTACGACGTTGCACACCGACGTGGTGGGACCTGAACGAACTGCGAACAAGATGGACGTATTGAAGACTGTTTAAGAACGAAGAAGCTAATTATTTCAGACATATTTCCCGACCACAGCCAGATTGAGCCCGTTTTACGACGTTTTCGTAGGACTGGCAAGAACGGGTAAGAACTAGTTTGGTGTGATAGGGGGGTGAGTTTGGTGAATATCAATATTTGTTTTTGAAACTTAGAGTGAAATATAATTGTGCATGAAAATAACCAAGCTTACTAATACTTTACTGTTTATATACAAAATAAATAAAAAACATAACACTGTACATTAATGTAAATCCATTGATCAGAGTTGTTAGCCTGCAACAAAATTACCTTAAATTACTTTGTTCATAGAGGACATAATTGTATAAACAACCTTGCTATTAAGAAAATTATCTGGCATGCAGTTCTGTTTTAAAAGCACCTCAAACAAAATGGAAACTCCATCACTCACTAAAGAAGAAGCGGTAACCTTTCTCTCAGACGTTCTACAGTTTGAAAACTGGAATGAAGATCTACAGAATGATAAGGTTGAGTTTGTCAATCATTTAATAATCAAATACCAGCAGAAACAACCATTTCAGACACTATCATTATTAAGTGAAGATCTAAACGGGTAAGGTCATAACACGTCATGCAGACTAGTGACAAATTACCCCCATATGAACTGCATGATTACATCATAAGATATTTCCCAAGTTTCAAAGGCAAGGAAGACATTAAAACCTTATAATTAAAACCTTATAACATACACATTGTGACATAATAGACTTATACGTGATAGTTCAAAATGACAACAATATTCTCACCTCCTGAGTTGGAGAGGTCAAATTCCGGGAACAGATTTTTTCCCCATTGAAATATACAGGGTCCGATTTTGAAAACATTATTTCAGCTTTTATTTGACATTCTTCTCCACGTATATTTGCACAATCAATAAAAATTTAAGTCCTTATGACAATCTGCAAAGCGATTTCATAAATTTTTTTCGAAACTGACGATAATCATGAAATGTTCTACCCTGACATCACCTACTTAGTTCCCGGAAGCTGAGACCCGATGACTCGATATGAAACAAAAAGTAAGTTCCCGTGTATATAATGTGGGCTTGATTTCATGTTTAATATTTTTGACTTATATCAATTGTGAGGGTTGTGATCTTTATCGTGCTGACAATACACAAAAACATGGTTTTAAGATTGGGAGAGCTTGCTAATTCAACGAAATGAACTTCCATAATTGGAACACCTCCCTAGTAGAACACTTTTTAGGGTACCAAAGGTATTCCACTTACACAGTAAAAAATCGTAAAAAATTAACCTTTACATGTACCAAGTGGAGAATGCGTAATAATATCAAAAGAGGAATATGTTTTATTCAGAGTAGAAATGAGCAGAGGAGTGGGGGCAAGGGTAGTTGTTTACAGTAAAACCTGCAGGCCCCTAGCCAGGGGGGTTCAGGGGGACCCCCCCCCTTAGCCAAAAATTCTTTCAAAATCAAGCACTTTTTCACCATTGTGAGCACTTTTCAGTGAACCCACCTGGAATTTTTCAAAAAGGTGACCCCCCTTGGCAAATCCCAGCTACAGGCCTGACCTGTATATCAGACATGTGTATGTTATATGTTTGTTATACATGGAAATAAATCATTAATAAAAAAGTCCCAGTAGTGCTTGAATCAGTTAGATTTTAAGGTTTGATTGTACCTACCTGTACGAACTTGAGTTTGTGGTTTAGAATATTGACCAGGTTTTCAGAGACCCTCTCCAGGCCCCCATATGTATTCCATACATTAGTACTTTGTGTGGCTAATACACCCTCAACTGTCGCCTTTAGATTCAGAAGAAGCTGATGCCTGTAAATTTAAATAAAAAATTCTTCTTCATCTCGTAAAACATATATGGAAGTACCCTGCGT